CAAAGCTCACGAGATCTCCGATCTTGTAATTCCGTTGGACTTAGTCTTTTTATGACGGGGTTGCATGCCCATGTGAGTGACACCGAAGGTATAGGATAAGGCTCGGGAGTCATGGGGGCCTTCCTAAACTCCGAGAGCCCACTTCTATGTTGGTCGATAATCTTTGACTCGTATAGGCGTGCAAGCCCAATGGCGACAGATAAGGATACTGGATTGCATGCTTGGACATCAACACACAAACTTTCCTTCAAGCTGCTAATAAAGCATCCCACTTGTTGTCCTTCAGAAAGAGATCCTGCTCGGTGTAATAATCCGTTAAACTCCATTTGGTAATCACGAACACTCCCTGTTTGCTTAAGCTTCGTGAGATCTCCAAAAAAATTATGGTACCGCGATGGTCCATAACGAAGATGGAGTTCATATTTGAAGACTTCCCAGTTCACGCCTTCTCGCCTCACCTTTAAAACTTTGGTACCATATTTGGACATCCCCATCCAAATGATACCCCGCCAATGGCAATTTATTCGCTTCCTCAGTTTGGTGAAAATCATAAAATTGCTACATATGACAAATCCACCCGGTCGGATCATCCATGCCATTATAGAGTGGAAAATCTAACTTTGTTATTTTTGGTGCAGCGAATCCTCCACCCGCAGATCCTCGAGAGTTGATGTAAGAGGAACCTTCTCCATTCTCGCGTCCTTTGCCCGACCCTTTCTCCCGTTGATGGGTGAACATGACGAACATGGATTCCACCGTTTTCTGGAGTGATTCCATCGATTGTTGCAACGAGCCTATTTTGCCCTCCAATTTATCAACACGGGGGTCGGACATGGCTAGCTCTGATACCAAGTTGTTACATGTTTCGGATATGGATCGAGTAATAGGTCGATTGACGGATAAGGACCAAGGATCGTTCTTGCGTTGACGACCTATAATGGTGATATGTTGGACACTTCGAGGGGTACGAGGCCTCCTTGTATTGGTTAATTCGAGTAAACCAATAAAACTCCTAAATCAACACAAGGTTGAAGACAAATTCATTTTATGGTTTTATTCACTTTTCTCTTGCTAATAAATAGCCATTACAAGATACCCCTTTATGGGAAAAGTAAATTACAAGAGCAAACATTATTGTAATAAAAGAGCAATAAGGAAAAACAAATTATAAGGCTAATCTTAATTGGAACTAAAAGAGAAATCAGGAAATTAGGAAATTAGACAATTATCTTGGCCAAGATAATTGTCTAATTATCCGTTACAGGTCCATTGTCACCTCTATTTTGATTTAGAATATTTAAATGAACAAGAATTTTTCTTTTATACGATTTAATGTGTTAAAATACCAAAGTAAAACTAGTTCGATCTGATACATGTCATTTCAAAATTAAGATAGAGAGAGCCATTGCTAATGCTGGGTGTTTCTTCTTCTTTCTCCTTTCGTGTAAGGTAAATGAATTGGATAATTTGTTTTGCATTGTGCTTTTGATCAATGGAGGGGCAAGAGAATTTGTATTGATTTAAGGTCATAAATAAAAAGAAAAAGGAGCCTTATTGATAAAAATTAATTGAACAAAAGCTTATAAAATTGTGATTGCACGGCAATCTTCAACTTTTTCTGATCTAACCAGGCCCAAGCGTGGTTTCGACATAAAAAATGTAACATAAGGAGAATAGTTTTTGAGCGAGCAAGATTTGATTTTCACAATCCACTAAAAGTAAACTTTCATTAACAATATATTTGTCTCTTATGGAATAAAAATTACTAGTGGAGCGTTATGCACATTTTCTTTAGTACACACAAACATGATTATTCATGTCAATCAAAACACAAAAAGCAAAAAGATAAAACATAAATCATGAATCAAGTAAGCATTTTCCGACTTTCTCAAAAACACTTCCATCAATGTACAATCTTTGAAAAGTCCTAAATTGCAAGCATGTGTATTTATATTACTGCTAGAAAATTGCTTCCACACAAGGGAGATGGAGAAGAAACAAAAAACAAATAACAAGAAGATGAAAATGAAGATGAAGATGAAGACTTAAACACATAATCATTGTCCTCAAATAATATTTATCCTCTCTCAAATTGTATTCAGTGAAAAGACTCCTAACAAATGGTTTGCAAATTTTTCAAACCTTGAAAAGGAATAAGACATTAAACACTAGTGAAATTTCTTCAAAACTTAAGAAAACAAAAAAATAGGATTTTTGAATATGATATAAAGAGGTTTTGATCTTTTTTGGAATGAATTTGTTTTCAAGTGATTCTTATGTATTTTGTATTGATCATTGATTACCTATTTATAGGCCTCAATCAATATTACATGAAATGATGCCAAGATATATGGAAAGTTGAAAGACATTCTCCAAATGCCACCACAATTAAAACAAAAAAGGGCCCTAATGGCTAGTTAATTGTTTTGTACGATCACATAAAATAATCTTATGAGGTCGCATAGATCAATACCTTGCAGGGCGTATACATGTCACTATGCAATCGCAGCCCTCACAGGCCTATGTGATCACATAGGCCCAAATTTTCGCCAAAAATTCACTTTCATTCCAAAGCCTATCTTATTGATTTGAACAATAATTTTAACAATTACACAGTCTCCCACAAAATGGAGTTGTCACGTGATTCATCAGGGAGGGCATCTGAGCTTTATTGATAAAAATTAATTTGAAAAAAAAGCTTACCAAATTGTGATTAGACGGCAATCTTCAACTTTTTACAATCTTAAGTAGGTTTACACGAGATTTCAATATAAGAAAATGTAAAATGTAGCTAAATGACAAGACCGAACTTCACGGACAAACTTTTTAGAACAATGCTTTTAGATGACCTCTCTAGTTGATAATGCATTCATTTATCAACTTATCTTTATAATTTTTCGAAATTCGAGTATAAATCTTGATAGAGCACAGATTTAGCACACATTTATGGAAAGATTTACGAGCACATATTGAGCATACAGATTTACTGCTTGTAATACTCTTCCCATCTTAAGTGATTCATTTTCCTTTTGTACAGCCTAAATTACTGGGATTATATGGGTTGCCTGCTGTATAAATATTGATACCAATCAATGGTTAATATACTGAAAATTTTCACCAAACTGTTTATGGTATCAGAGCTTCTCTATCAACTGAACAGAGTCTGATCCCTTTTCTAAACCCAGCCGTGCCATCTACAATGAAAAAATCCCCGGAGTCCTCTGCAGCACCAATAACTTCAGCAACTGATTCTGGACCAGTGATTGCATCAACTCCTGTGAACACCACGGCTCAAAACAACTCTTTTCCCATCAATCGAAATTTGATAGCTCTTAATGCCTCTTCTCAGATTCCGTTTAAACTTGCAAATTATGCATCTTGGAAGTCCCAAATGACCAACCTCCTCTTCGGTTATGGACTTCTTGGTTTTGTTGATGGAACTCATCCATGTCAATCGAAAAACGACCTTGGATATCTCCTTTGGACTCGTCAAGATCGTCTTGTGCTCCTTTGCATTCAGGCTACTGTCAATAGCGCAATCTGCCCGACGATAAACAATTGCACCACATCTGCAGATGCCTAGAACAAGTTAGAAACCAGTTACACTAATTGTCCAACTACCTGTATGCTTTCTATTATGTCCTCTCTTATGTCAAACAAGAAGGAAGAGAAATCTGTGGCAGCTTATATGAGCAAAGTTAAAAGCCTTGTCAATGATCTAGCTCTCATTGGACATCCCCTAAACGACGCTCAAATCATGTCCTATACTTTAAATGGTTTGGGCAATGAGTTCAAAGAACTTACAATAGCAGTTCGTGTCCATGACACCCCCATAACTTTTGAAGACCTCTATGATAAACTACTTGATGAAGAATTGATAAGCAATCATGGAGAACCGAAGGAAGAAGAAATTCAAGTTACAGCACAACTTACTCAAAGGAGGTCCAATTTTAGAGGCCGTGGTAATAGAGGAGGCCATCGAGGTGGCTACAATAACACTACATATCGCCATGATAACAACACCAGTGGGCAAAACTCTCTGTTCAATCACCTGCAATTCAATCAGCAGCAGTCTAGGCCCTCCTACAGCAGAGGTATAAACCATTCCAACTCTCCTCCATGGAATTCATATCAGCATCAAGGAAATCAAAGCCAACCTCACATTATTTGTCAACTATGTAACAAGTATGGACATAGTGCAAAGTCCTGTAGACCTGGTGGACTGCCACCTTCCTATATCTCTCGACCTCAAGCAAATATGGCTGAAGGACTATCAAACAACACCAACAAGAATTGGGTACTTGATTCAGGCGCTATGCATCATGTCACTTCAGACCTACAGAACTTTTCCTTGCACTCAGATTATGTTGGTAACGAGATATTGTAGTCGGTAATGGTAAAGGAATCTCTATCTCTCATGTTGGTTCATCTTCGATTGATTCCCCTATTGCCTCATTTACATTAGATAATGTTTTGTGTGCACCCATGATAACAATGAACCTTATATCTGTTTCCCAATTTTGCAAACAAAATAACACATCTATTGAATTTTTTCCTGATTATTTTCTTGTGAAGGACTTGAATACGGGGGCATCCTTGGCGAAAGGCCGGAGTAAGCACAATTTGTATGAGTGGCCATCCGCAACCCCACCTATCAAGCAATCACCAATCACTCCTTCTGTCTCAGTCACCCTCCTGTCTCAACTATGGCATCAACGGCTTGGCCATCCCTCTCCTCCAATCCAAAAGAGAATACTCGCTAGCAATAAAATTCCCTTGTCAAATTCATCTACAAATAAAGTGTGTGACTCTTGTCTCTGCAACGAAAGTCATAAACTATCTTTTAAAAATTCTTCTATTAGTTGTAATACACCATTTCTTCTTTTAAAATTTTCACTCTTGAGTAACATAAGGAGAATAGTTTTTGTGCGAGCAAGATTTGGTTTTCACAATCTTTGGAAATCGAACTTTCATTAACAATATATCTATCTTGTATGGAATAAAATTTACTAGTGGAGCTTTATACATGCACATTTTCTTTAGTAACACAAACATGATTATTCATGTCAATGGAAACACAAAAAGCAAAAAGATAAAAACATAAATCATGAATCAAGTAAGCATTTTCCGACTTTGTCAAAAGAAGAACATCAATGTACAATCCTTGTAAAGTCCTAAATTGCAAGCATGTGTGTATATTAATTCTCCCACCAATTGGGATTGTCACATGACTCATCAAAGAGGGCATCTGAGCAAAGATTGCACCATGTTTCAGGTGATGCCAATGGTGAACTGTCGCCTTCTTCTTCCGGCCCAAAATAGTTGCTGATTTTTTCCTCATCACCTGCATGTATAACTCCATTGGGGTCCACTCCTTCAGAATCCAAGCAACCCAGTATTTCTTTGGATTCGGCATTTTCATTGAGGGGGTTCTTGAGTAGATTCTTTAGTTCTTGTAACTGTGGACAAGTTAAGGAGAAGATTTAAATGAATATGCGCTACTTTCAGTACGAACTTGTGGTTCAAGTCTTGTCATCACTCATTTATAAAACTTGTGCAAGTTCCAAACTTTTACTTTAACAAGAAGTCCGATTTGCGTGTTAGGGGTATGTTGAAGACAATAATATAATTAATGTGCGTGGTATTTTCTAAATTTTTTTAGATTAAGTAGATAGTCATGGGAAACAAACAAATAGAACCTATTATTCTAATTAGATTGGGATATTCCAACTTGAGTAGTGGCTTGCATGCTTAAAAGGAGTTTGAGAACTAGTTGGAATAAGGAGAAAGCAAAAGAATAAGATACCTGCATTTGCAAAGACTGTTTTTCCCTCATCAAAAACTCGGATTGCGCATATAAATCTTCATAATTGGCTTTAAGCACTTTATAATCTTGCTCGATTTGCTTCGACTTCCATCTCGCCCTTCTGTTCTGAAACCAAATAGCTACTTGGCGCGGCTGCAGCCCGAGATCTCTAGCTATTTGTAGCTTCTTACTTGGTTCAAGCTTGCTTTCTAGCTTGAAACTGGATTCTAATGACTTTATTTGCTCATCACTAAACCTCTTGGCATTTTTTCTATTCTTTTTTGGGAGATTTTTCTTGTGGGCAACTTCATTTTCCTCTGGTGCTTCCATCGCTTGAGGTAAGTTCCAAACTGAGACAAGATTTTGTTTTACTTGAGGAAATATGTTATTGCTTATATCACAGGTTTACCGGCTTTTTGAGGAAAAGCTACTTTGACAGAAGATTTTTGAAAGAAAACTTGATATATTGTATATGGCAGAAAGTGATTGAATGAAAAAGTTGATTGTGATTTAAACTATTCAATAATAGAATGTCATGTGATATTATGTCAAATTTTAACTCATGTTTGGCCCTCATTTTTATCCCATTCTCATTCTCTCTCTCTCTCTCTTATTTTCAATCGCACAATCTTCCATAAAATAATATTACACACAAATAAATACTTTTCATTCTTTTTTAATCACACATTTAAAAAAAACACTGTTCCATCCATTAAAATTAACTAAGAATGGGGGCAAAACGGACACTTATATTCATGTAGCATGATTGGCTTTTAATACGAAGTCTTTGTCAAACCATACCGTCTTATGTACAGACCAACGATTGATATCCTATGAATTGTACACAGCTCTATGTTGGATCATTTTCTATCTACTTATCTTCTGATAAAATCTAATGTTGATTTTGTGAAAAATAAGTGTTTCATCACATACAAGTGTGGCAGGTGTAATGGCTTGTTTCGACCTGTCTTTATGTACTGTGTTTAGAGATCTGGGATCGTTTATGTAAATCATTTTTCATTATTGTATTTGATTTATTGCTAGTTCTACTCGAATATGAAAGTCCAAATAAAACTAAATAGTAGTTTCAAACAATAGTAATACAATTATAAGTAGATAATTCATTAGTACGAGAACTTTGGGAAATTGTTCTGAGATGTGATTCGTCATAATTATGTGATTTTGTCGTTTTATGTAGAAGGGATAAAAGTTAAAATTTACCCTTTTTAATTGTTTAGTCGATCACACGACATAGCAAGACGTAGCATAGTAATTGCAAAGTACTGTCTCCCGGTGCATAATTTAGTGGTGCAAAAAAGAGGAGTAAGGTAATCACA